ACCCACCCTAACTCCACCTGCTATGAATATTATAACTAGATGTTGCAATAATATGAATATGCATGTAAAGACGACGTAATCTCTCGCAAAAGTTGTATAAATAGTCTAACTCCTCTCTGATTACTTCAGAACTCTTTGTCCAGCATGAGCTGGGAGTTCCCCAACGTTGCCTGTGATGCCTTAAGACCCTTTTAGTTTTTTGATTTTCCTGATTTTATAAGCTTTATAAGCAGTTATATAAGTAGAAGTAGATTTTAGAAGCAGCAGCCCTTATTCACTTACCCTTTAGTACAATAGTTTACACATTCCCTGCCCCATCACCCCATTCTATGTTCCCTGTATCAATTCCAGCCCCGGATTCCAGTAGAAAGGGTTTAGTCTTTTGTCAAGGCAAGGCCTATGCTGTTTAGAGAACACTCAGATCTTGGCCTGAACCACAGAACACAGTCAAGAACTGGGTGACCGTGTACCCTTTGTGCTCTGAAGAAGATGAAGATGACGAAGAAAAGCCCCCAGACCCAATTCCCAAGGGGTGCACCAGGGCAAAAGCTACGGGATGGACAAAACTTGGATTGGTCGGGCAGCGTTATAAATTGTAACACCTGAACACGGCCTTGTGACCTTTATGCCTGGGCACAAATTAAACCCTTTTCTTATCTCATCTCCAATTAACTGCTCCGGAGTTTGGTTTTTTTTCCTCAGGTCCTATCAGGCATCACCTGCAATAAATCCCTCGCTGCTTAAAGACTCAAAGATTGTCTCTGAGTGGTCCCACCGTGCCTTTTGGGGCACGAAATGGGCATCCCAGAGCCCCACCTCTCTCGCTGGCGTCGTCCACCAGGATGATCTCGCGGAGCAGGCGCGGGGGCGAGCGGTTGATGACGCTGGCCACGGTGCGCAGCAGGGTGCTCCACGCCTCGTTGTGGAACACGATCACCACGCTGGTGTTGGGCAGCTCCTCGGGGTACACCTTCGTCTTGCACCTGCCCCGGACACAGGGAAAGAGGTCAGTGTTTAAAATATCCCTGTGGGAGGCTGAAACGGTTCATGATTCATGCGTTCTAGGATTGCCAAGGGACTCTTGCAGGCTTCTGCAGGGCTTTTGCATTAGACCTCTGGTGGCCCATCAAAGCCCATCCCCAACCCCCTCTGTCAATCTTGAAAGGTGGGAAAATCCCTTTGGCCAGGTCCCTCAGGGAAACTCATCACAGACCCAGGAGAGGTTGGAGGCTCGTGGTGTGGCCTCTGACACTGACCATGGATATGATAATTCATAACTTCTTGGAGTGTGGGGGCTTCCCTCCTTCACCCCCAATGGATCAAGGCCACCTCTTCAACTGACAGACATGGAAGCCGCACCTCCGAAG